ACCTCTAAAATTTACAAGTTTTTTGCAGAAAAGATATGTGATTTGACATCTATGCTTAACTGTGGATCCCAAGGAGGTGAGTAAGTAATACATGTTGATCGCATGAGGAAGAAGCACAAATACTTAATCGAAAAGAAACTCAAGAAACAAAAGAAACTGCGTGGCCAGAGAGAGAGACTGGAAACATGCCACAGTTCCAGAAAATTCAATAAACAATTACAAAAATCGCCGTGTTAGAAATAGAAAGCTACCTACATGGCTTCATGATCATTATGTTGATACTAGTAAATAGTCTACGTATTCAAAATTATTTATGAAAATTTGTGATCAAACGTATATGTAATCTTTGTGTATTTTTGATGACAAAGACAACTCCAAACTATGAGTTTCGGCGCTACCCCATGTGTTTACACTCAGCTAAGGAGGGGGGACTACAGGAGGTATGCTTTTAAATGAGCAATGAGGACTTTTCAATATTCAGGTTGTGACTTTTGCAATTATGAGAATCCAACCAGACGAGACATGTAAAGAACAGTCATCCAGGACTGGCACAGGAAGATTTGATAAACCTGGTGCAAAAGAAAGTAGAGGTGAAGAGGAAATGAGTAGGGGGATGATCATGAATAGTTATCTCAAGATCCGGGAAAACTCATAGGGGAGTTTCGGACAATGAAAGTGATTAAGAAAAGATTCGCCAAGTCAGAAGGCAGATCACTCCTCTAAGGATGATGGAGAGAAGGATGTTTCATCAAACCAACAAAGCTTTCCTTACCAGTGTCTCTCAAATGTAAAACATGGCACAGTGGTTAGAACGTTTGCTTTAGGGTCGCGGAGTATGGAGTTGTCGCGGGTTCAAATCTAGTGTGACACGGAGACAGGTCCTTCGGATGAGATATAAACCGAGGTCTCGTGTTGTAGTAGATGCTGGCACGAAAAGGATCCCTCACTGCTCAAAGGCAGTAAGTGTCGAGTACAGGTCTAAATGTGCAGTCCTCAACCGGAAAGTGGTGGCGTCTCAATGTGAGTGAAACAAACGTAAAACGGATGCAGTACCCCCAATTCCTGAAAAGAAAGGTACAGGCTATCCACTTCAATGCCATTGATGAAAGAGTTGAGAAAAAAAGAAATGTGGGAATAAAGTCAGATCCTGTCCAGAGAGTCATCAAAACGAAGACTGTAAAGAAAATCAGGGAATGGAGCTTAGATGCAAAGTTTATTTATGAAGAAAAGGTCATTTTGAATTACATGTAGTAATATGTGGTTGAATCATGCCATTTGTTAAATTATTGTACTTATATATTACGAAAAATTCTTTTGTTACTACAGGGCAATTCTGTAATTTGGAATGTAGAATAAATCCCACTCTATGATATACTTTTATGATTTTCATGCATATGCGGGTCGCATGTCATCGAAGGCATGGTAGTGTAACTATCATGTTTTTCATTGATACAAGAGGCCTACAGCAAGGGTGATGTAGAAACTCAACTATGGAGATAATAAACCTTTTGCTAGGATCTAGTGATCTAGAAATTGCTGCTAATCACGTGACGCACAGCGGTTATATATACATCTGCAGTCGGTCAGTTCTACAAGCCCAAACAGAGGAAGAAGTTGTAAACATTACAGATTAGTTTGGTCAGGTAAATTGCCAAATATTGAAGGCTTGCCACATCGCATTGTTAGGACCATTCCTATAGAGGCTGACTACAGTTTAGTGGCTAGATTGTAAAGGTTGACCTCTTAAAGGTTCGTCTATCTCTTAGCCGTTCTTCCTCGATTAGGGAAAGTTTAAAACTTCAGAGATAAGCAGTTCACTGTCCGTCCTAAAAAAAGGCATTAACAGAGTAACTGCTGCTTCTGGAGTTTGAAATCCTTTATTAGGCTAGGACTTGTCTATAAGATAGATGTTACTGCCTGAATAAGGCATGTTTCTATCCAGAGGTATATAAAATTCATAAATTATTAAGTTAAGGCCGATTAATTGTGATTTTCCCCGCAAGTCTTATTTCTTATATATTTGCAGAACAAAAGTGATATAGTCATATCATTTTTGAGAAGAAAAAACTATATTAGTACAATCATTTGATAGAGGAAAATTTTTTCGTTTTTTTTTTTCAGTTTTGAGTTAATTCAAATCCCTTAGATCCTGGAATTAACAGAGTACGAATCCCCTTGACACGTTACGTAATCAGTATGCTGGAGACATATATGGTTGGTTTCATAAACTGTGTATAGTATATTTTCCATCGTTAAATACAGTTTACAGTTGGAAGTTTTACTGGTTTATTAAACAATAAAATGCTTTCTTTGGCTGTTCGTATGGGAATTAACGTTGCAGCTATTGCAGAAAAAAAAAACAAAACCTGTAACCCGCGCAAGCAATTATGTATTTTTTTCACTAATAGCTGCAACCATTAATTCCCGTACTAACAAAGAAAGAAAGATATTTTATTGTTTATATTAATTTATGTCTGTACAAATAATCATATAAAGTAAGTTCATGTAAGTTGAATATTAGATTATTGATATGTTTCATTGACTGCACAAGAAATCTACTGATAATCTATGGTAGCCTATTTCAGGAAATTTATAGTGCTGAAAATATTGATTCCTGTTCAGTGACATCTAATATGTAAAGGATAACGACTAAACGAACAGTGCTTAGTCTACTTTTGTAATGTTGATTCACAGTGTAAAAAAAAAGACTTTGAAAGTATTGGCAAATGTAAACATTTGATGTTTTGAAGATATGTTAAAAATACACATGTCACGATGTCTAATTTTATTTCAATTGTCCCTCTTCCTTTAAAAAAAAATAAGTATATAACAATATACTGTAGAAAACTCTTATTTACTATAAATTATCATACTAAATCAAAGTATAAAAGTTTTTTGTTTTTGTTTTTGTGTTTGTTTGTTTTGTTTTGTTTTTTTTTTTACATATTCTAAATCAAAGCTCTATGGTGATTAATAACAGTTAATCAAAGTTTTTAGTAAACATTTATCAAATCAAAATATCATACTTTTTACAAAAGAAAAACAAAGTATTAACTATAATAAATCAAAATTCCATATAGCGTTTAATAAAGTAAATCAAAGAATGTACTTTGACCTTTATACTTAGCAATTGTTTACTATATATAACAGTAGTTTACTATGATAAACAATACAATACTGACTCGATAACCGAAATTCAAGTCAAATTTTAAGGGAAAGGGGGTCTGTTTTCAATTTTTAGCTCACCTGAGCTGAAAGCTCAAGTGAGCTTTTCTGATCACCCGTTGTCCGTCGTCCGTTCGTCCGACCGTCCGTCTGTAAACTTTTCACATTTTCAACTTCTTCTCAAGAACCACTGGGCCAATTTTAACCAAACTTGGTACAAAGTATTCTTGGGCAAAGGGGAGTTTAAATTATTAAAATAAAGGGCCAATTCCCCTTACAAGGGGAGATAATCAAGAAAAGACAAAAATAGGGTGGGGTCATTAAAAAATCTTTTTCTCAAGAATCACAAAAAAGCTGAAACTTATGTGGAAGCATCCTGAGATAGTGTAAATTTTAAATTGTAAAAATCATGACCCCCGGGGGTAGGGCGGGACCACAGTAGGGAATCCAAGTTTTACATTGAAATATATAGGAAAAATCTTTAAAAATCTTCTTCTCAAGAACCACTAGGCCAGAAAAGTTGAAACTTACGTGGAAGCATCCTGGGGTAGTGGAGATTCTAAATTGTTAAAATCATGACCCCCGGGGGTAGGGCAGGGCCACAATAGGGAATCCAATTTTTACATTGAAATAAATAGGAAGAATCTTTAAAAATTTTCTTCTCAAGAACCACTGGGCCAGAAAAACTGAAAGTTATGTGGAAGCATCCTGGGGTAGTGTAGATGCTAAATTGTAAAAATCATGACCCCGGGGGTAGGACGGGGCCACAATAGGGAATCCAATTTTTACATTGAAATAAATAGGAAAAATCTTTAAAAATCTTCTTCTCAAAAACAATTGGGCCAGAAAAACTGAAATTACGTGGAAGCATCCTGGGATAGTGTAGATTTTAAATTGTTAAAATCATGACCTCCGGGGGTAGGGCGGGGCCACAATAAGTATTACAAGGGGGAAATCTGGTAAAGAACAGCATGGCCAAAGTTACTCAGGTGAGCGATGTGGCCCATGGGCCTCTTGTTAAGTATATCAGCATAACAGATCATGTAGATGATGATTTAAACATTCTTTGTCAGATCGTAAGATATGAAATATCTGAGTGATATCATAAAGAATTAAATATATATACGTAAAAAAAATTATTACATGGATTCTATACTTGAAACACCCCCCCCCCCCCCGGTATAATCGAGAGCTTGGAACTCGAGAAGATTAGCATCTAGCACTCGTAAGTCTTCAAATTTTTCAACTCACAAATAAAATTGTTGAGTTTTAAGCACCCGTGTGGTAAATATTAAATTTACCAAGTGGCAGTACAAAATTTACAATATAACACATGTACATATATAGTCTTATGAGGAATTTTATGTATAGGTGAGAGAGCTACGAGTATTTGTATGGATTTAAAACTGGAACCTTTTGGTAATTTCTTTAAAAGTCATAGAGAACTCTGTGTGTTTTCTTTTTTTGTTTTTGTATCTGCCTGATAAATTGGTAAGAATGATCGGAGCCAGGTATTCTCTAAAAGCAGGGTTGGTCAGATTTGTAACTGTTTTTCTGTTTGCTTGTTTTATCGATTGTATAAAACACCCCCTCCTTCCTCCGCGGCTATGGTCATTGTATATGATTGGGGACATTTGACAGAAGTTCAATTTATCATATATCGAATTAAAAATAAATTCCCTTCCATTAACTACTTGAATATTGTCTTAATTAAACTTCTAATTAATTTCGTGTTAAAATATCATAATTGATATTTACTGTTACAAATAAACATGGATATACATACATGCATTCTTACGTACGGTATACATAGTCATTATGAATGCATGCACTCAATTTCAGCGTAATTCCGGACGATTGTATACAAATATCCGCATTATTGTTTGTACGACAACCGTTCAAAGTGAGTAATGAAACTACTCTGGCTGATAGTATTCGCTAAATGTGCACATTTAGGTGAGTAATTTTGTTTAAAGATGTCATTAAACATTAAATATATACATATATAAGTATAAACTGTACATATGTACATTACTTTATTGTATCTTATTTAAACGAATGATACAATGAAGAGGAATGTGAAAAAGGAATGATAAAATCTGAAGAGGCAAACACTTAGCATGTAGGAGGAAAAACAATCTAACCATTGTTTTACCTTGCTGTGATATATATACTGTAGATAATAATTTTTTCATGAATTGACTTTTATTACTTACATGTAATAATCCCCAATATCCACAAAAAGTTCTATCATAGTATTATTACATGTACAAATACTTCATCTACAAGTACAAGAGAATCTCAAATTAATGAATATTTCATTCCTTAGTGGTTGAAATAAAGGTATATATATTAAGAAAAAAAAAGAATTATGATGTGTGCATACACACACACACACACCCTAACAGAGAGGGAGAGAGAGCTTTTAGAATTGAACAATGAATGTATATATAATATAGAAGTTTTAAAATTCTTCTCCATTTTTCTGTGTTAGTTTCCGGAGAGTGCACAAACAGGACATATGGCCCAGAATGCTCCCAAAAATGCGGGTTCTGTAAAAACGATGCTCCCTGTGACGGGGTGACGGGACTGTGCCAAGGATGTTCGGCCGGATACGAGGGTATTCTATGTCTATCAAGTAGGTATCTTATACAATCATTGCCTATAACTTTCTATGCAAGCATTGCGAAGCAGTGCATGAGAGGGGCCTCTTGAATGGGAAGTAACATTGTAAGTCTACATGCATTCAATTTTCCTGCATGCAAATGACTCTTGCACGGAAGAAAAACAAATTCAAAGTGCAGTCAATTGCAAAATATATACGCAGGCCGAAATTGAAAAAAAAATGCAACACGCTCACTTAATCATTCCAATTTGTTTTACTTAAATGACAATGCATTTAACACATACAGCATAGATTATCCATTACTCAACTTCCCATTAGATCTAAAAAGAGAAATCAGTCATCGGATATGTTATGTTATATGTTATACATGTATCAATTCATCTAAAAGTTTCAGTGTATCGGTTTCATATACCCAATTATCCAAGTCTCGTTTTATTATACAAAATTTTATTTTTTGTCAAAAGGATGTTCCCATGGTTTTTATGGTGAAGATTGCCTTCTACGCTGTACCATGTGTGTTAACAATAACTGCGACCCAATGAATGGCACATGTGCGAACGGAACGGTTTTGACCACGGAAAGGACACAGCCTGTCACCATAATAACTATAGTAACGACTCAAACCACCACCACCACTCCACGTATGGTTTATTACAAAAGGCCACATAACCTCTGATTAGTTTGTAATTAAGTGATTATAAGTTTTACTCCTTCATAGATCTTCGGGTTGAAAAGCGCTATGTCAAACTGTAAATCACTTCTAAAATCAGTAAAACAGGGCCCGTAAATTAATTTTTTAAAAATGATGCATGTACGTAATTGTGAAATTCAAACAACTGTTTTGGAGATGCTCCCATATACAGATATAAAGAAAACTTCATTATTTTCTCTTCATTTTCTGAGAAGCGCTCAATCTCTTTGTTAATAAAGTGGAAAATGAACTTGACATCAATCACATGTACATCAGTTGTGTATTCCTTCTTCTATTTTTAAATTCCAGAAAAGGGATTAGTTTTTGACAGCCCAGCAGTTTTATTTGGACTTTCTGTTCCTATGTTGGCGTTGATTGGGGTCGGGGCATTAATATTTTTTCTCATCATCGCTTTGATATGTCATACCTTATTAAACAGGTAAAGCTCCATTTTTTTTAAAACTACAATAAATAATATGTATACACAACGTTGGAAAGAATAGCTAAAGACTTTCCTGAAATTTTCATGAAAATATGGAAAAAGTGGATTCTATATATAAAAAGTATGAGAATGCTGTTCATATAATTATATATACATATATTCCTTTAGAATATGCCCAAGGAAGACACAGGTTGAGCCAACATACCATGCTACAAGAAGACGATCTACGAGAAGGTAGGTAATGTTCCGAAAATTTCAGAAACAGTTCATCTTTATAGATTGTCATTCTAATTTTATCGGAAATTAATTGTCAAATACATGTATATATTTTTAGTATGTCGTTTGTTTACAAGAAATGGTCTTCCAAGCCCACCTAATGAATAGAACTTCCTTTGCCATGATTTGTGGATTATGATCACATGGTCACATCAACTAATTCTGTGTACATCTCCACACGAAGAACCCTGGACACGGAAAGGGCAATTCAAATTTTAAAGAAATGGGTGTGCTGTTTCTTGGTTGTATCTCAGGATTTCTTTAGTATCCATTCAAAGATTTTTGGGAAATTTACGAAAGAGTTCTAACGATCTAAATAGAAAATCATCTACCTGTATGACTTCATATACTGTATATTTTCGCCACTATTATTGAACCCGAGACTGGTCAACGAAAACAGGGTGGACAAATTTTATTGACATGAAGTATATTTTTGTGCATTTCACGAAACTGAGTCTGAAAACAGTTCATCGTTTACAACCAGTACTTTGATTTTATCAAGGAGCAGACAGACTTTTACTATTGGATGATTTATCTCAAACTACGCTTCCTATTTAGATGTGTGAAATTTAACGATCACTTAAGTAACATTTGCCGTAAGAAAAAGAAATTTATTGTTGTAATAAGCATGTTTTACTTGACTGTAAATTATCAAGTTACAAGTCACTTTATTTTTTACATGAACATATTTTTCTTATTCTCTAAAGAAACAGTAGACTATTTTACAAAAAGTAACCATCAAAACACAAAACTTATCTGAATATCTGCTTACCTTTGAATTAGGGATGTCAACGAATATTCGAACATTCGAATATATATTCATTCGATGAGTAAATATTCGAATAAGAATTTATGATTCGAATATTCGGTGTTTTTCATATTTCACAAAAGGTAATAAATTTTAATTAGAACAGTGCTGGAATTATCCCCGTTTTATTTACTAGCGATCCCCTGATTTCTTTCGCTACTTTCTTATCTTAAAGATCTTCTAAACTATTTTATTTTGAGTAAGGTATAAAACAAATAAACAGGAATTATTAATGTATAATACAAAAAGTATTTTCAATAGTTTGATATGATTGAGTCCAGGACAGCGAAATGAAAACCTTCTTAAATGTGTAAAAGACTTGAAGAGTGTACTTATGAAAATACATTTTATTGATCATTGAATTACATCTTCTATAGAATCAGGCTGTAATATTGTAAAGGGCTCAATTTCAGAATAATACATCAATTACTTGATTATGTCGGGTTGAATATTAATTTTAAAATCATTATCGGGAAATAAATGACGTAGGAAAATTGTCTATGGAAGTGTTTGTTTATATTTTCAAAACATTGTATCAAAGATTATATCTCTTATTAAGCAGATAATTGTAATTAATTACGTATATTTGAATCTGATGATTAAACGACAATCCTGCCCCTGGTTAAACGACTGGCTCGCCAGTTTGAGCTTGTTTAGATATCATTAGTTAAAATTATATTTCGGTTGTATACACTTACAATCATTTATTTTAAACATTGACAAATATCAAATGTAGAATTCCTTATTGTATACCGACAAAGTCTACATTCAATTTTACTTCCAAATACTTATGCAAAACCTGTCATGAGAGTATGATCATGTACATTTAAGATAAACCAGACTTTATATTTATATATTCGAATACTTTCATTGAATAATCGAATATGAATTATGGACAAAATTGACATCCCTACAGTTTATATAGAATGTTCTAGAGAATGTTTGTAAAAATATAATTGACCAAGACAACGTGATTTTTTGTTATAATGAAACTGCACCGACTTCTAATGATTCGCAATTAATTAGAGGACAAAAATACGTTTGTAAATATACATTTAGTTAATATGAATTATTATTGTGTGTCGATTGATTTGTCATTTTTGAACCAAATAAAAGGATGAGAAAGATTGGGAAAAACTTCACAAAAATACAAAGATGTTGATATATGAATATGATATATTTAATCATTGGACATGCTTAGTGAATCATAAATTTCCGGTGAGTTTTAAAATACTTAGATTGTTCTCCGCTAATAATGTATTGATGTCCTTACTAAATACCAGTGACTATTGCAATAAATGTGTAAGGACGATGCCCAGAGATGATTTCATGACGATGTTTAGTTCAAGGATATCCAGTTTACGGAGCAATATACTTAGTTTTATTAGCATTGGGAAAAATGTAAAACAAGAAAACATTGATGTAACCATCAATTGTCGCCCGGGAAATAAATAAAATAAACAATGGAAATGAGTCTTGATCATCAAACCGCTTCGATATGTGTGAAAAAGGCATGCGTCTAAATGATGGAGACGATAGTCGAGAATATTTTGAAAACTTATAGTCGGATGAAAATCGAACAAAAACGATACCCTTTTAAACTTTATCAATTCCTCAAGTAAATGTTGGCTGCATAAAATATAATTTGAAACCAGACACATGCATCACCTATTTTCAAAAATGTCTTTCACTTTAAGAATTTAAAACACGAACTGTGTAAAGTACATTTTTACGTTTTTATGCGATAAGTAAAATTCGATGTTCTAAAAAAAGGGACCTGTCGTTTTTTCGATAGTAAATGATACGCAACTTTATATATTAAATATGAAAAACATATATATTTTTACAGATTCACTTTATGGAAGTAAATATATTGTGTATCTCGTAATTTATAAAGGGAAAGAACATTCTGATTAACAATCTTTTTAATGTTTAGAAAACCTTTAATTCTGAATAACTTCTCCCACCTCAATCCCCATATACCAACACTTAAACTTATATGTATAGAGCAGCCCGGTCCTCCGGGCTGCAATAACTACATGTATGTTACATTGTAGGCCTATAGGACAGACCCGTAGGAACACCCCCCCCCCCCCGCAACCAATAATTATGCCGATATATAGTATACTAAAGAAAAAGAAGCTAGTTTATGCATGTGCCCCCTCAATAATTACTTACGCCTGATGACTTTTTTTGTCAGTGAATTTTTCTTTGGTCTGTACCTCCACCCTACCCTCAAACTGGAAAAGTTTGCCCCCCCCCCCCCCGCTTGAAATTGCTTCCAGTGGGCCTGAAGGAATCGTGTGAAAATGCTTTTTCAGACTAATTGATTAACTCCTCCATGCACATCATGTATTCTTTAAAAGGGGAACAGTTGGATTATAAGAAAGAATCTACAAACTCTTTAACTATATCTTGCACACTATGTATTGTTTTACTTTGAAAAGTGAAGGGGGGGGGGGGGCTCGTACTTGTTCTCCAAGAACTGCACTCACTACAAATGCACGGTGTATCATTGCATTAAATATTCTATTTATCCTTAAGTAAAGTACAGAATGTACTCTTGGGAGTAGGACTCTTTAAACACTTATTAACACTAGTTCTTTATTCATGTGTTACATGTCTCATAAATGTAACCATCTTGAAGTTCAAAAAAAATAAAATAAAAAATAGAAATAAACGTGTATTATAAAACTCTGATATGTTAAGACATTAAGCCCCTTCTAATCAGCAATGAACATATCCAGTCAACAGTCTTCATAGCGCTCATTAACACAAACGCCAAAGAAACCTTTACCTCAGAAATTATACTCACGTACATGTAAAATAAATGAATAATCCTTTTCTTATGCTTTTTCTACGTTGAATGAAAACGAAAGGTTATGTTGTGTTCACTTTGTACAAAAAAATTCTTTCAAAAATTATTTTACAATTGTATTTCACTGAGAAAATAGAAAATCCATCAACGATGTTTCTATTAAAAAAAAAAAAAGAAAAAAGAAAAAAAAAACTATAAACCGACTTAATGTAAGTTACATCTGTGTTCTTTTTCTTTTTTTTACGGAATGTCCATTTTGGCGGTTTCCAGACTTTTCACAAGTTACATTTTTAAAAAATCAGGTTCTCCTGTCCAAATTTGGCTGTGATTTTTAAAACTGTGCAAGATTGAATCAAATATTCTACTGACTGGTTGTTTCCTAGTTTATTAATAACTCTTACATAAAAATCTATACGTATATTTCTATGTTTTATCAAGGATGGACTGCTGGGTGTGTTTATTTTTTGCAATTCACGTTAATAAACTTACATAACGAGCTTTTACGCAGTTAAAATAAAATCATAAATGAATCACATTGCTTATAATTTTATCCGCTGTGTTTTACGTTCTTATGACCAGCCTGACCACCGATGTAATAACGTCCGTTTTAATCGAGCTTCATCCGTCATCAATTTCCGCCATGGTCATCTCTGTGTCCTATAACGTTTACATCCGAACAAATGGCAGGAACAGAGCTGATAACTTGTGTACTGATTTGTCTCTTTTTTCGGAATATTGATGCTTACGGTAAGAGTACTTAATTTTTTTTTTTAATTTTTTATATTTTAGATTTTTAGAATGTAATATATTTATATAAAATGGATTTACAGATTTTAGCGAATCAAAATAATGTTATTGTCATGTGATATTGCAATAATCGTTTCATCTTTTTCGGAATTAAAAATTGCCCCCTTCATTTTTTTGCCCGACTTTGCTGTTAAATAAATATGAAAATTATCACTGAAAGCCTGGCTGCCTACCCCCTTTTTGATGCAGTATGGCCAAAATCTTGGAATCTCCCTCCCGAAAAAAACTTTTGAGTTTACATCTTTCTTTCCTCTTTTTTTTGCTAGTCAATTTTTTTTCATTCCCCCCTTTGATTTATTTGTTTGTTTAGCGTCCTTTTCGAGAATTTTTCACACATATCGAGACGCCACCACTTCCCGATGAAGGGCTACAAATTTAGACCTATACTCGGCAATCAGGACCATTGAACGATGAGAGATCTTTTTCGAGCCAGCACCTACTGCGACACGGGACCTCGGTTTATCTAAAGTCCCGCAGTGGGATTCGAACCTGCGACTTCGCGACTCTAGAGCAAACGCTCCAACTACTGCGTCTCGCCCCCCCCCCCCCCCTTCCGACTGTTTGAAAAACGGTGTTACATACTTATTCCATATCCCACTCGTTATTTCCTTTCTTTCGTCATGTCATGTTTACATTAACAAAATAATTTCTACACAATTTAGATAATTTGGCCTTAAACCGGCCTCAAAGTTTTCTTCCCTACAACGCAGCAGCAACTAATGGCAATGATGGTAACCCAGCAACTTGTATCGATATGTCTCCCACAGCCGTTGCTTCGTCAATGTTTCTCGTGGAGTTTGCCAGCGTAAGGAGGATTGATGAAGTCAACATCACTTTTCCCTCAGGTAAGAGAGAGAGAGAGAGAGAGATAGAGAGAGAGATTAAAGCACTGATACAGTACTGAAAGATGAGCCAAAGTAATAACATTCATCATTTTAAAACTTCGTAACTGCTGAAGATTTTTATAAGGTTTTGTTACTAATTTAAAAAAAAAATCAGAAATTTAAAATTAGAATGAAGTTGAAAAAGTAAACATTATAAACAAAACATTAGTATTACATTCATAGATTTAGATTAACAGCATACGCCATATTAGTTTTCCTATTTCCGATATCAGCACTGGGGTATACTCCTTTGCATTCGTTATACCTGACTGCTTTCTTGTCATGGGTGGAATGCTCGTGTTGGTTATCTTACACAATTTTTATTTGCATTTTATTGCAGTTTACGTGTATTGTGTTTGTTTGTACTGCACTGACCTGTGCAACTGATGTAAGTTTCTTTGGTAACTTTCTCTTCTCCTTGGAAGAAGCACACAGTTACTTTTATAACAACCGACAGTTTTCACAATAGCTTTGAAGAATACATCCGTCCACACCGGTGAAAACTAATAACACTGAACTTTGACCAAGTGAATGGCTTATATAGGGGCCGTTCAGCTAAAGAAAATGCAGAGTAATATGGTGGAAATCATAGATCTCAGCCTTTTTACGAACATGTTCAGATTTAACATATTTGAATGATTTTTTCGTGTTGTTTCAATGTGGGGAGATGTTTACAACTATTTAGTTTTACTAAATAAATGAGATATGATTAGTTTAACATAAGTTTATCGATTTGAAAGTTTTATAGGTCAGTTATCCAAATCTATGGGTATTTTTAAAATCAGGTTACATTTTAAAGTCTGATTTCAATGGGAAAAATTAACCACCTTATCAGAAAGAGTTGAATTTAACAGCAATAAGTTAATTAACATTAATATTTGAGCTACTAGTATTAATCAATTACTAATGAAGTCAGCTTTGCATTCAAAGAATATTTAGTAACAAATATTTCAAACTTGTTGAATTTTGAGTGTGCAGAAATAATGTAGGTGGGAATCGGGAGTTAGCGTTCGCAGTTCTTATCGAACTGTCGATTCGCGACAATATTTTTTTTATCAAAAATATGACTTTTCTCTGCAGGAGCTGTAGGTAATGAGGGATTCTTCATTTCCATTTCCAATCTCTCCAATCTATTCACTGGACAAATATGTTACCGCTCAAAGTTAAACACTATTCCCTTAGCATCGGACACTTATCCCTGCATTGGAAGAGGTAGATATTTAACAGTGTTTACCACCCAGAGAACGACCACGATTGAGTTTGATATCTGTGAGGTCGCAGTGACAGGTTTGTACTTATTCAATGGAACAACATGCTTAGCTTTGTAAGCCTTAATTAGACTGAATTAAAAATATTTAAATAGATCAGCGACGTTTATTTGTGCATTTATTAGAATTTAAGATTTCAAATAAAGTCATTCTCAGGGCTCTCGCTAGCTCCTTTATAGATCTGTAATACCTAATAGTAGTCCTTGGTTTAGACTAATGTGTAAGGGGAGTAACAATGTGGGTTATCTCTCAATTCTATTAATTTCCAGGTTGTCCTTTTCAAAGATACGGATACGACTGTTCCCAGACCTGTGCCTGCCCGGACGAATGTCATTATGAGACTGGACAATGCATTAGTTACTTGTCAGGTATTCAAATATCTCAACCCAATGTCATTACAAGACTGGGCAATTATATTATAGTCTGTTCATTACATTATAACCTGTACATTACATTACAGTCTGTACATTACATTATAGTCTGTACATTATAATATAGTCTGTACATTACATTTTAGTCTGTACATTACATTAGAGCCTGTACATTACATTATAGTCTGTACATTACATTATAGTCCAGGCTCGTAGGAAGCAAATTCAGTTTGGGGGGGGGGGCACAACCATACATTTTCAGTTGACAGTTGAGGGGGCACTATCCAAAAATCAGACGTTTTTTTGAGGGGGCATAAGCATATGGTATCTAAGTTTACTAGAGTAATCTATATATCGGCAAAATTATTGGCCCCCCCGTGCCCCCCGGTTCCTACGGCCATGTAGTCTGTACATTACATTACATTATAGTCTGTACATTACATTATAGTCTGTACATTACATTATAGTCTGTACATTACATTATAGTCTTACATTACATTATAGTCTGTACACTACATTATAGTCTGTAACTTACATTATAGTCGGTACATTACATTTTAGTCTGTACATTAAATTATAGTCTGTACATTACATTATAGTCTGTACATTACATTATAGTCTCTATAGTCTCTACATTACATTATAGTCTGTACATTACATTATAGTCTCTATAGTCTCTACATTACATTATAGTCTGTACATTACATTATAGTCTGTACATTACATTAGAGCCTGTACATTACATTATAGCCTGTACATTACATTGTAGTCTGTGCATTACATTTTAGTCTGTACATTACATTTTAGTCTGTACATTACATTATAGTCTGTATCTTACATTATAGTCTGTACATGACATTACAGACTGTACATTACATTATAGTCTGTACATTACATTATAGTCTGTAACATAACCGGACGCTGGGGAGAGGACTGTAAGGAGATCTGCGGATTTTGTAAAGATGGCGCGGATTGTGACAAGACTACAGGAGCGTGTCCATCAGGTTGTGCTGCTGGATACAGATCTAGTCAGTGTACTGTGGGTAAGTTAATTTAACCCTTTAACTCTTCTGTAATGATACAGACTAACACCGCATCAAACAGCTTTTTTTACTGCAACAGTCGATATATACTAAATTTTATTAAAATAAGAGAGAGAGAGAGTTGGTTTTAAAACGTCAAAATAATCCAAAAAAAATAATGTATTAAATATAATATAATATAATATAATATGAATTATATAACCCTGTGTATTTGTGTAATTTATGTGGCATCACTTGTCAGATGGTTATGTCGACTTGTCAGATAATAATCTTCAGGACTAGGAACTCAGTATCATGTTATCATAGAGCATTGATGCCATTAGCTGACATTTTACTTGTTAGCATAATACCTGTTCTACATAAGAGTCAGTGACGTAGCTAGGCAAAAATTATGACTGCAGGGGACCTGGGGCCGCATTAAGCTCCCCCCCCCCCCCCCGAAGTGGATACAAAGAGGGGAGCCCTTGGAATTGATATTCATTGTGAAGATAATGGAAACAAATTATTTTTGAACAAGCATTCTGAGAGAATTGCATTAGCAATACTAGTCCCCTACCGGCAAGTGCAATCTGGTTCCCGTTAAGAATTAAAAATGCCATAATTCCGTCAAAAATCAATGAAGCGGAACGAAATGAAACTTGATCTAAAACTAATCAAGGTAACATCACTTACCAAAAATCAGCTCAATATCTGAAAGCGTTTAGAAGAAAATTGCGGAAAACCCTTAAAAATTGAAAAGGCCGTAATTCCGTCAAAAATCAATGAAGCGGAACGAAATGCAAACTTGATCTGTAACTCATCAAGATACACTCACACACCAAAAATCAGCTCAATATCTGCAAGCGTTTAGGAGAAAAGTGCGGAAAACCAAGTGAGACAGACGGACAGACAGACAGACAGCTAGACAGCTAGACGGACAGACTCAGAGGAAACCTATAGTCCCCTCCGGTTTCACCGGTAGGGGACTAATAATGAAACAAATTAATCAAAATACTTTCTTTTATCAAAGAATTTATGTATTTTTTATTTATTTATGTATTATTACATGAATTATTTAATTTATTTATGTATATTCTGAAAATAATGTGGATGGTTTGCTATAGAAGCATACATGGTAGCTACGTCACTGAAAGTCCAAGAAGCAAACATCTGATCTGACACAAAGACGCAATTTGTGACAAGTGTTCACAATTTTCTAACAAATCGACATAATTTTCTGACAAGTCATCATATTTATCTAATAACTCGACATAATTTCTGACAAGTCGTAACAATTATCTGACAAGTCTACAATTTTTTTTAAGTCGACATCTCAGATGCTATGTCGACTTGTCAGATAATTATGTTGACTTGTCAGATATTTATGTTGACTTGTCAGATCCTTATGTTATTTTTTTTTTATAGAATATATATATTGTCCACTGGATGGCACAAAATGGGCATAAACACGTGTTTATGTTGAATTTCTAAACACCTAGATAAATAAACAGTCAACAAAAAGATTTGACTTAATTGTCTGACGAGTGTCTGACAAGTCAACATTAACATCTGACAAGTCGTCATATCTGACAAGTGGTGACAGAAATATTGTAGTTGGTTCGGAGATTCACTAAACACTGTAGTTTTTCATTGAATGGTCCGTTTGCTGCAGAAATGAGTAACAAAGATTTTGGTATTCTTAAAGAATGTATATCTGGAACTTTTGGCGAAGACTGCGGAATCTCCTGTGGTAATTGTGTCAACAGTCGATGTAACCCTGTGACGGGAGCCTGTGACAGCCAAGGATGTCAGACCGGGTACGTGGGTACCAAGTGTTTTAACAGTAAGTATTTAAAATTAAGTTTTTAGGTGGGGCCATATATATTGCATATATTAGTTAATAATAATAAAAATTGTTATCTTGGGTGTCAGAAAACATGTGATAGTTAAAATTCATTCAGAACAGTTAAAATTCATTCAGAACAGTTTTATTTTGATAATATTTATTAAAAGTTTGCAACATTTGAGAAATAAAAGAAATTCGAATCGTTTCGTTTTTCTTCAAAATAGCTCAAACTTATGCTTCTCGTATATTTTCATGAAACTTGAATAAAATTATATATTAAAAAAAAGGATGACCTTTTTGCTTTCAAAGTTATTCACGTCAAGGTGAGGATACAATATACAGTACCAAATCATTTTAATTATTTATTTGTTTGCGGTAATTAAGCAGTGGGTCCACATTAAGATGGACTACCGTCATAACTTTTTACTTAACGTCATATTAATTATATTCAAATTTGGAAGAAATATTTCAACAGTAAATTCAAATAATGTGTATTTAATTTTTTTTAAAATATCGTGGTTTATTTCAAACTTATCTAAACTTAAAAAATGCGAAAATCGGATCACGAAGCAGGTCAAAATTCTGTAATTTACAATCAAGACACTAAATAATGTCTGAAGTCAAATCTTCTGTAAAATGGCACAAAAACGGAAAAATTCTACACTTTCAAATTAAGAACTGTTTCATCGTTTCTGATTCCAAATTATGACTGAATATTTTGCTTCTTTGAAAAGAAATCAGTTTCAGAAGATAGGTAGTCCTCATTGAAAAAGGCAAAAAAGATGACGTTATAGAACGTCACGAAGCAGCAGCTAACCATACAATTTTGTGTTGTACTCTGGAAATCTCCTGAAAAAAACCTATGAAAATGCCGGAGGAAGTAGGAAATATGTCAAAAGCTAGCCATGCATATGTGTGACATAGTACAAGCGGTATTTGAATGATAGACTACTCTACTTAGACGATGGTGATCTGTGAGAAAACGGATTATCTGTAAAAATCTTATCAAAACATTGAAAAGTTAGTAACGTCATGCTAAGAGTTTGGCGCTTCACAGATGCTGATCTTCTGAAAGCACTTTTGCAATGAAAAAAAAATATAGCATTGACAAACAAAATGATGCTACTGGAACAATTGTTAGCAAAATAGATTTCAAGTGATAGAGAAACGTTTTTAATGAGTGCACAGGTATAAGGCAATACTGTGTGATACCGGTATGTATAGGGATAGTATTTTTGGGAACCTCATGCCGGTATGTTTTTGATGTTACAGTGTTGTGGAGTTTGCTCCGTGGTTACAAAACGTGTTGGTTTTAAAATTGAATAACATGAATTCTATTAAATCACATGGAATGAAACTTTACACTTAAACAAAATACATATTTTTACATATGATAATGTGCTCTTTTTAAATTTCTTGAAGATAGTATAACGAAGATTGGCATAGTCCACGAACTTTCCGAACAACCCTCGTAAGGGGAGATAACTAAGAAATAGTGAAAATTGGATGGAGGTATTTAAAAATCTTGTTCTCAAGAATCACAGGGCTAGAAAAGACGAAACTTATGTGAAAGCTTCCTGACATAATGTAGATACAGATTTGTTCAAATCTTGACCCCTGGGAGAAGGGTGGGGCCACAATAGGCAATCAAAGTTTTACATAGAAATATATAGGAAAAATATTTAAAAATCTCCTTCTCACGAACAGTAAAGCCATGATTAGTGATATTTATATGGAAGCATCCTTAGGTAGTGTAGATTCAAGTTTGTTCAAATCATGACAACCGGGGCTCGGGTTGGTTCACAATGAGCAAACAAAGTTTTACATAGAAATATATAGGTAAAAACTTTTCTTTTCAAGAACAGTAAAACCATGATTGGAGATATTTATATCGAAGCATCCTCAGGTAGTCAACATTCAAGATTGTTCAAATCATGACCCCAAGGGGTAGGGAGGAGTCATAATTGATGATCAAACATTTACATGAGAATACATAGGATGAATTGTTAAAATAATCTTCCCAAGAAAAGCAAATCCATGATGAGTCATATTCAATCAGAAGCATCCTCAGATAAAGTATATTCAAATTTGTTCAAATCATGTCTCCTGGGGTAGGGCGGGGCCACAATAGAAGATCAAATATATGGAAAAAAAATCTAAAGCCATGAATAGTCAAAGAAATATGAAAGCATCCTCAGTTACTGTACATTCAAGTGTGAATAAATCAGCCTCCCCCCATTCCTGAGGGGAGGGGGTATTTATGATCACATATATATTTAACCTTTTCAATACTAAATGCTTTTTTCTAGCCAATGTGCTCAAGGGAGCGATGTGCCCCATGGGCCTGTTGTTTAAATTATCCAAGCAATATGCATTGAAATGTTGAATCGTAGAAAAATAATTTTCTTTAATTTTTATGAGAAAATTAAGTTAAGTCTGACATGGAAATAAACATCATAATACATTGGTCATCAAAATATTAAATTTGCTTGACAATTTTAAGTTGAGATAAGGACTTAAACATAGGACGCTTTACCTTAAAAGGCATGTAATAGAAATCTTTAAAACAGTTTGTGCAGGTTTGATTAATGTTAAAACAGATATTTATCAGGAAATTTTCAACTTTTCAAACAGCCAACAATTTTTACAACAATGTGCAAGGACAGTTGGTGAATACTTGGGAGGGAAATGTGGCGACAGGTTCGATATCGTATAATGTAGCAGGATTATTTGATGGTAACAACGCTTCATGTGCCTTCCAGAACGCCCCTTTCTCCAACACCATTGGTTCTACAGCTTTCCTTTTTCAACTGACAACAGAAAGAGTGCTAAGAGAAATCACCTTAACATTTAGTACCCAAGGTATGAAGAATGACCAGAAATCACAACGCTATGAAATAGCCAATCATTACTGTCTAATAGAAATAGAAAAAAGGAGATGGGCGAACAAGGTGTGCAAAATGCCTGTAGGTTCAAATGTATAAAAGTCATATTCAATTTGTGAATTTAGTATTTAGAGTTAAGTTCTAATGTAATCATTACTGTATGAAAATATAATATTTTTACAAACAAAACATGCTATGATTTAAAAAAAAAAAGTGGTTTTCTTTGGCTTCGAACCGAAGTTATAAAAAATCCTAAGAATCCATTTCCTTAGAGATTACACGCTAACCACTACGCTATACAGCTCTGAACAAATAACAGCATTTAAATCATTTAAATCATGTCATGTTATATAACACTTGACTGAATAGACTTCAAGTATTTCTCGGAAAGATATGAATGTTATGTCATAAAAATGAATTTTTACATAAAGTGGGTGTTTGATCCATGTTTTTGGTAACCGAAAAAGTACATTTTTACGCATAGTACTTTGAGTATAATCTTTCGACAAAAAATGGAGCCAAAACCAAATCATAAGGAAAAATTGTCTTAAAATGTAAAGAAATGATCATTTTTGCCCTCTTTGGTGTGTGTAAGCTATTTCATAGACAAATAATTTAATATTTGTGAGATCGTTGTAAATTGTGGAGATTTTACGTAAAGTACATGTATACGTTAATGTTCAATGAAATTTTTAAAAAATACTACAATTGAGATATTATTTTCTTATTTATCTCACAATAAGCATTTTGCTCGTCTTGTTCGCCCATCTTCTTTAAAATGACTATTGCTCTTTGCAAAGAATCCCCAAAAGTCTACATGATAAACAGATGAACCAAAAAAAAAATCATTATTATCTATCACAATAGACACAAAATCAAGGACCGTATCACATCAACTATCTATGCTGGTCATAGAATCATTGTTTCTGGTTACCTCTAGTTCAAAACTAATATTTTATAAGTTTCATTCCCACACTTTTTCTTTCCTGAACAGCTAGCGCAGCATCAAATTATGCCGGATTTACCGTATCCATCTCTGACGGAACCAATCGTCGCGATTGCTTTACCTGGAACTCTACTGGTGTCCCAGAATACGTACAAACCATTCCTTGTCTAGGCCTGGCAAAGTCCATCAATGTTACTAATGAAAGAAGAAGTGGTGTGACATATCCCTCCGCATGGGGACCCAATCCTGGTCTAGGATTCTGTGAAATTTTGGCAACAGGTATGTTTTTTTTTAATTTCTAAATTAAAATCTTTATGTGCATGAGTATGTTAGAAGGTGGCCACATTTTAGGAAAAAAATCTTTGGATACTGTATTTTAATTACTAGTATCTAGTTTTAACTGTCCTTTAATTTTGAAAAGGAATTGGATACTGTGGTAAAATTATCTAGTTTTACAAGTAACTGTCTTATAATATTAATGATTAAGGAATCGGGTACTTTGTTTTAATCAAGTACATTTTACTGTCCTATAAAATTGAAAAAAAAATGGATTGGATATTATAGAAGCCATGAAAACAATGAATTACTTATCTTACCCTTCTAGATATTGAAGAAAGATAAATATATAGTGTGCATTATTGCGCTCATTAATTTCTTAATCAAAAATACATATTTTCAACTATCAACTACAGGTTGTCCAGCGGGAAGATACGGCACATATTGTGAGAAGTCGTGTATTTGTCAGGTTTGTGACTATGTCACCGGGGCATGTCCCAGCATCGACCAAAGTAAGTTGCTAAACATTAACTAATAATCAATTATAGTTATAATGATTCATTATATGTATTATTTAATCTGGCATTGAAAAAAGACAAAAACGAATTTTAGTCCAAAAAATGATTAAATTGATTTTTTTTAAGATTGTCAGAACAGAACGTACGGAGTGAACTGTTTAGAACAGTGTGGGAACTGTCGGAATAATGATGTATGTAACATAGAAACAGGGGCTTGTCCCAATGGGTGTACAGCAGGCTATAATGGAACACTCTGTAAAGATGGTGGGTTTCATTAATTTTTTGAGAATTCTCTCTGGATCTTGCGTCTTTTATTCATTGTGAGATCACATACTGCATCAAATTTGAGTCATTGTGTTTTGTGCCTTTTCCTCCTAGGAATGTGAAATTGAAAATGTTTGTCTTGAAATAGCAAAAGGTGGCGAGACAATGAGTTGTTGAAAAACTAGTCAGGAACTATGTTTATTCACAATCATTACAGAATCATGGCTGTTTAGATTTTATAAAAATCCATGAAAAGTTTATCAATTACAAGAGAATACCATATCACGTCCTGGTGTACGTTGAGATTGCTTTACATACCCATATTAGTTTGATGTTTCTATTTTTCAGCAAGTAATGATTTATAGATATATGCACAATATGTTTTCCCACACAGCTTGCCTAGCAGGACATTACGGAGAAAATTGTTTGCAGACATGTTCTCAGTTTTGTAAAAATAACAGAGTTTGTAATTCCGTGACCGGAAGTTGTCCAGAAGGATGCTCTGCTGGTTACCAAGGCTCCACGTGCGATCAGAGTAATTCACTACAGTTATCTTTCTATTTCTTTGAAATAAAATGTACATATATAAAACATAAATTAAGCTATAGAAATAAATTTGAAAAGAAGATATCAGTTAAATGGTAGATTTGATTAATTGGAGTAAGTTTACAAGAATGGATTTAAAACAAAACACTGAAAAATTATTGACCTACGTGTTGCAAACATAGTAGACACGTAGGGATCACTTTGTCTGCAAGTCCGTCTGGCTCGGATGAGCAACTTTCACAAAAAAGTTTGTCATCTGCAACTGACAAATGTATCCATTAAACACTCGTTACTTTAAGCATACTGGAAAAATATTTAGGGGAAAAGGTAATCGATAATCGCAGATTACGAAGCTCAACTGGACGAATGTAATTTATAAGTAAAGCAAAGTCTCACAACAAATAATTGTTCGGTATTGCAAAGTCCTAGACGCATCATCAGTGCAAACTTGATCTATGAAGGCTTAAAGTTACCTTTTAATGGACATGCTCCAAAATCTTAAGCTTATTCGATCATTTAGAAAATTAAGTCAGATCCAAAAGGCTTGTCTGAGTGTGTATCCCAAGAAACATCATATATTAAAGCATGTTGAGTCATCATAGTGCTTACTGTTACTAAGAAACGGATGTGCTCTAAATACAGTAACGTATTCGCTCATCCAGAAAATGTAGATTAGATCCGGCATTCGAAGCATATTTGTAAGTGAATTCATAGGTGCGTTATCTATGCAAGTTTGGTCATCATAGGGCATAATTGTTATTAGTTGAAAATAGACCTGCTCCAAACACTTGTCACTCATCGGAAAAAGTTGCTCAAAATTCTCCATCTGAAGCAATTTTGGTAGTGTGAATCATTAGATTATCATCCATGCACTTTTGATATCTATAGATTTTATATAGTTACATAGAAATAAATTTGCTTCAAGAACTTAAACCTGGTCAGAGTCAGTTATCTTGAAGATTTAGGTCAGATCCAGCAGCATGTGTCGTAGTGTGCATCATCCATGCAAGTTTATGCAATATTGGGCTTAAAGTTCTTAAGAGACATGCTCTAAAACTTTAACCTGAGCAATCATCCGGAAAATGTAGATCAGATCTAGCATCAAAAACATATTTGGTAGTGTACATCCCTAGATGCACCATCCATTCAAGTTTGGTTACACAAAGGCTTACAGTTACATAGGAATGGACTCGCTCTAAAAACCTTAACTTGGCCACTCTTACAGAAAATATCCAACATCCGAAGAAAGTCTTGTAGTGTGCATCCTTTGATGCTTCATCCATAAAAGCTTAGTCTAGACTGGGGCTTATGGTAACTTGTTTATAGATTAGCTCCTAATTATATTAACGAAATATCAGCGCAGGGTATAGCATCATCTTGATTTCATTGAGGTGTCTTAAAAACAATTCATATTATACACGGCTGTGACGGTCTGCTGTTTTATTATACCTTATTCTTTTGTAACCCCAATGTTCGAATTCTCGTACATTTGATTCAAAATTAAATCCCTGGTTTAAAAAGTTTTCTATTTCTTGAGCAGCGTGTGCCTCTGGTACATATGGCGATGGATGTACCGAGACGTGTGGCAAATGTTCTAATGGTGCTGTATGCAACCCAGTTAATGGGACCTGCAATGGTGGCTGTGCTCCGGGATATAGGGAACCACCCCTCTGCAAAAATGGTACCTAATTAATGTTTATTTCCATTAAGAACTTACGACATAATAAATTTTATATTCATATCCAATAACATACTCTGCGAGAGTTTTACAGTATATAACGCACCTTTTAATATTTAACTTTTATCAAAACTATTGCATTTTATAAATCTGTCGCTTACATAATGAAGTTTTATGTATTTCAAGTTAACGCTTTTTAAATATGTCCACGGGTGTTTCATTTTTCAGCATGTGAAAATGGCACCTATGGTCAGGACTGTCTTAACAACTGTAGCAGAAATTGCCAAGACAACGCATGCAATTATGTTAGCGGAAATTGCACTAAAGGATGTAAAATAGGATATCAGGGAGATAAATGCTTAATTGGTATCAGTTTCTTTGAAATGACATTTGAATATTGTGGGTATAGATTTATTATGCTTTTGAGTGAGAAAGGTTTTAAAATTTCAATTGGCAAAAATGATTTTGAATTCGTAATATAGGGGGAACTTTTGTAGTGCAGTATGTGATTTCATTGTACTAAGAATATAGAATTTCTGAATGATGTCTTACATGTATATCTCTTCTCCTAGGTATTCTAATATATTTAGATTTCTGTAAAAATATGTTATAATTTTTTTTAATATTTGTTTCTATTGATTACCTGATCTTCATTATATACTACCATCGTTTAGTTCTATGCGATGGTTGCTTTTTCATTATTTAATTTTTACGCCATCCTTACAACGTCAGGGATCATTAGTCCACTCATGGTCGTGGGACCCCTGAGAAACTTCATTCGTTTTTTGGAGGGGAAGGGGGAGTTTGCTTGCACCTATCAAAAGGGAGATATAAGTAAGCAGTTGGCACCTCAGTGAAGTTTTACAGGTTGTTTGTCACCGAAAGTCTTAATGTGATCGGTCGAGAAATGAGAAAAACAATCAGGGTTTTGTAATTTCTCAAGTAGACGACGCTGCAGTCATCCCATAAATAATGAATAAAGTATGCCCAGGTCCCACAAACACGCATGGAATCAGGACCCCTGACGTGAGGATTTCTTTTTCTTTCTTTCTTTTTTTTTTTTGCATGCATACTACAAAGTATTTATTAAGGAAAGCATTTCACTGAAATACTAGATAGTATATTTTCATTAATGGCATCACTAAAATACATTCATTTCTTAACTATTTCAGTATGTCATTGCATAACAAGTTATTAATGCTTTCTTAAAGATATAAGAATTTCCTTTCAGGAAAATTACTTTTTCTGTAGATAGTTTGCTTCTTTAATTATAAGATATTGCATGAAATTGATAATCAAGTTACGGTATATTCTCAGACTGAACAATAAGCCCCTCGACCAGACATAACTCTTTTGTCAACGTGCTCATAAAAGAAGTGGTTTTCCCCCATCCCGTTTACAGTTTTTAGCTCACCTGAGCCAAAGGCTCAAGTAAGCTTTTCTGATCAAAATTTGTCCGTTGTCTGTCGTCGTTGTTGTCGTTGGCGTTGTCGTTGGCGTTGTTGTTGTTGTAAACTTTTCACATTTTCATCTTCTTCTCAAGAACCACTGGTCCAAATTCAACCAAACTTGCCACAAACCATCCTTGGGTAAAGGGGATTCAAGTTTGTTCAAATGAAGGGCCACGCCCTCTTTCAAGGGGAGATAATTAGGAATTAGTGAAAAAATAATGGCATCATTTAAAAATCTTCTTCTCAAGAACCACTGGGTCAGGAAAGATGAAACTTATGTGGAAACATCCTCAGGTAGTGTAGATTCAAGTTTGTTCAAATCATGACCCCCGGGGGTAGGGTGGGGCCACAACGGGGGATCCAAGTTATACATAGAAATATATAGGAAAATATCTTTAAAAATCTTCTTCTTAAGAACAGTAAAGCCAAGATTGGTCATATTTATATGGAAGCATCCTCAGGTAGTGTAGATTCAAGTTTGTTCAAATCATGACCCCCGGGGGTAGGGTGGGGCCACAATGGGGGATCCAAGTTTTACATAGAAATATATAGGAAAATATCTTTAAAAATCTTCTTCTTAAGAACAGCAAAGCCAATATTGGTCATATTTTTATGGAAGCATCCTCAGGTAGTGTAGATTCAAGTTTGTTCAAATCATGACCCCCGGGGGTAGGGTGGGGCCACAATGGGGGATCCAAGTTTTACATAGATATATATAGGAAAATATCTTTAAAAATCTTCTTCTTAAGAACAGCAAAGCCATGATTAGTCATATTTATATGGAAGCATCCTCAGGTAGTGTAGATTCAAGTTTGTTCAAATCATGACCCCCGGGGGTAGGGTAGGGCCACAATGGGGGTCAAAGTTTTACATAGAAATATATAGGAAAATATCTTAAAAAATCTTCTTCTTAAGAACAGCAAAGCCATGATTGGTCATATTTATATGGAAGCATCCTCAGGTAGTGTAGATTCAAAGTGTTCAAATCATGACCCCCGGGGGTAGGGTGGGGCCACAAAGGGGGATCAAAGTTACATAGAAATATATAGGAAAATATCTTTAAAAATTTTCTTCTTAAGAACAGCAAAGCCATGATTGGACATATTTATGTGGAAACATCCTCAGGTAGTGTAGATTCAGGTTTGTTCAAATCATGACCCCCGGGGGTAGGGTGGGGCCACAATGGGGGATCAAAGTTTTACATAGAAATATATAGGAAAATATCTTTAAAAATCTCCCCCCCCCCTCCCTGGGATAGAATGGGGTCACAATGGGGGATCAAAGTTTACAGAGGATTATATAGGAAAAAATCTTTTTCTCAAGAACAGAAAAGCTGTGATTGGTCAAATTAATATGGAGGCATCCTTGGGAGTGTAGAATGAAATTTGTTCAAATGAGGGCCCCCGGAGGTAGGGTGGGGCCACAATGGGGGATCAAAGTTTTACAAATGAATATATGGGAAAAAAATCTGCTGCTCAAGAACAGCAAAGCCATTTGTTATATTGATATGAAAGCATCATTAGGTAGTTTAAAATTCAACCCCCCCCCCTTTGTAAACTTTTCAATACTAAACTGATTTTTGTTTTTTTTTTCCTAGCCAATGTGCTCAGGTGAGCGATGTGGCCCATGGGCCTCTTGTTGGACTTTGGATTCTTTACGCGCTATTGCCACTTTGATAATTCATTTGTTTCTATAGTTCACAAGTATCCTTTTACAATGTACCCACCAGTGTTTCACTTTCAGCGTGTGAAAATGGCAAATACGGGCAGGACTGCAGTTACAACTGTAGCAGAAATTGCCGAGACAACTCATGTCATATCATTAGTGGAAATTGTACCAAAGGATGTATAATAGGATATCAGGGAGATTTATGCTCAGCTGGTATCAATTTCTTCTAGTAGTCCAATGTATTTTAAATAATCAATATTTAGTCCTTCCTGTATTTTTAAAACACACCGTTTGTGATATTAAACGAAAGTTTATAGGCATGATTTTTTTCAGAGATAATATGAATACTAGTATTCATAATCTGTTGAATTAAAAATAAGAAAACAACTTGTCATTCCATCTTCAACTGTAAACACTTAAAACTTGTCATATTTGCGTTTACTGATGTATCATACAATAACCATAATGTAACAATATTGTTATAGTCTCGTGTATCAGTGTATAAATTTATTGACATGCAAAAACAAATGCAATGTAATTAATTTTTTATTCCTATCGAATATTCGTTACTTGGGAAAGGGAGAAAAGAACAACATTTTCGTTGATTTAATTGCAAATTTATTTCTTGAGTCTAAAGATTTAACGAATATTATTTAAATGTGAGGTTTGTGTGGAATAATTGAGGCAAATTGTGTGAGCACTATTATTTTACAGAGTGTTCGCGTGGTACGTATGGTCAGGATTGTACCAGCCAGTGTAATAACAATTGTATCAACTCCACGTGTAACCACATAGACGGCGCGTGTACTCTCAAAAAACCCGACAATGGTAATATCTCAAAAAATAATGGAAATTTTCATCTCAACATTTTTACTTTTTATAAAATTATTTGATAATGTATATTTTTTATTTTAAAAGTCTAGTATGGTCGAATAATGAGATGTTCTTCAAGAAAGATACTATTAAAGAATATGCGTTGGTTGAAAAAGTTCTAAAACATTTTTTTTTTCAAAAGAAATCTTTTATAACTGCAAAACCCAGAATCCCCCCTTTTCATTTGGGACATCTCAGTAGAGAACGAAGTTATCGTCACAAGTAATCTGTAGAAACGTATATGTAACATTGAGGTACCGATATTATAATCTAACGGTTTAGTTAACATTGATGGCTGAACATGACAAGTCCTATATTTATGTTCATATCAACCATGGAGATGCACTAAAATATGTAAACACGAAAGAATATATAACAATCGATACATTGTTATTTTGAATCCCCTTCCAACCCCTTCCAAAAGAAGTAAACAGTTGGAGTGTTCCATTATAGTATTAATTTTATTGAACATTCACAGGAACAATAATAGTAGAGCCAGTTGTATCAGGACTGTCTACGGACGATCTGGCCATGCTCATCTGCCTGGTACTGGGTGTTATCACACTCATCGTTGCTGTCATCTTTATTATCATCGCCGCCAAGGCCCACAAACGGTAAAAATAGACTCTATTTGACGTAACTAATTAGGCAGACCAATTCAAATTAATAAATATTTTTTTAAGAATTGGAAGTATTCTTAATCAAAGCACTATCGGTATGTAAAAGTTTCTTGAAAGTAAATTTAATAACGAATTGATTAGGCCATCCTTAGCTCGAAATACGGGTCTTCGTGAATTTTGGAGTTTGAAGAAACTGTACAGAAATTATTAATGTAGTTTTAAAATTTCTTCGTAGTTTTAAACAAGAAGCAGAGGAATGTGAGGAGGAGGGGGAGACTCACAGTATCAGCAAAAGCAGGCAAGTTATATACAAAGTTATATACAAAAATAAATAATCTAAGCACTGGTTTGATTAGAACTAAAGTTGTATCTATCATCTTTCGTATACTAAAAAAAAAAACGAGGACCATGAACATGAGAGGCACTTCTGAAGCTATGCCATGCGAAGGAACTGAATTTTACTTTTTTGCTTTTATAGGTAGATCCTGAATTTTGATAGTTTTTAGTGCTCAAGCTGAGTCTGTAATTTTTCATTTCTGAAAATAAAAACCTGCAAGATGGAGAATGTACATTACAAGAAAGAACTACATGTACTAGTCTAATTATCAGTATATATGTGTACGTATGTGTGTTATATTTTTCCTTTAAATGTTATATATGTGTCTTTGCAGTCATGATGCCCTGCCAGCTACACCCAACAATAGGCAAACTAGAGCAGAAGATCACTTGGTTCATGTGCAAGGTACCCCATACTAAAACCCAGAGTAACCATTACCTGGAATTGGTCAAATATGAAGGAAAATAATTCTTTATAAATAATCACATTGGTTTACTGTAGAATTTTGTTGATTAAACGTGTTTATTGCTGGCATGATAAAAATAAAATAAAGGGGATGATTATTTTTGAATCAAAGTCATAGAATTCAAAAAATTATGAACTATTGATGACAATCAAAATTGTGTCTACCGATTTTTTTTTCTCATAATATTTGTAACTTATCGCAGATGTTCAGTCTTGTAGTTAGTCCTTGTAGGTTCTCATAAAAAAACATTTCATCTATTGTCATTCTCTTCCTTTTTTCATTCAAAAGGTTTCCTTTATTCGTTTCAAATGTAATTCGTTACAAGTTCATGTTTTGACCCCTTTTTAAATTTGCTTTTCATTGAACATAAATTTATAAACTTCTTTTCCTTCCAGTTGCAATTTAGTGAAAATTTATACTTTCTACATTCCTTTCAAATGTCATTCATTTACATAAGTACGTTTCCTACCTTTCATATATAATTATTTGAACACATGCACACACTTCCTTTCCTTTAAAATTCTTTTCCTCCATTCTTTGAATTTAATTCATTAAGAAAACCTCCATCCAATGTTTCTTTTCTAATTCATTAAACACATACTTCCCTTTCTTCAATTGTTATACAATGAATATTTCTTTCCTACTCCCTTTTTAATGTAAAGTGATTACACGTATCGTCTCTTCTTTTTATTTTTTGTCCTTGAACACACATCTTGTCCTAGTTGAGAATTTACAATTACAAATCTTATAAGGAGTAAGAGTAAGAGAGAGAGAGAGAGAGAGAGTTATCACATGTTCTTTTGTGGTTTGTGATTGGATGTTCATCCAACAGGTTGTCTTTTACATTCCCCCCTTTTGCTATTGAATATTAGTTCTCTCCAACAACACTGCATTTTATAAAAAGTGCGTATTGAAGTGTAAAATGCTTTCTTCATAAAGTATCTTTCATTTCAGTGATATCACGTAAATGATTTTGGTTTCTGTCTTGATGTTCAGAGTTAAAAAAAAACTGTTTACGTATTTATTTCTTTGACATGACATTAAGAAGTGTTAGTAAGCAGTGAGGGATAAGAAAAGAAATACAATTGGATAGAATGGTAAATCCAAGATAACTTAGAGTAAACATGAATTTTACAGAAAGCGAAATTTTCCTTCTCTGGTAATATATTTTTCTCTTCCACTGTTGTTTCTTAGAATGCTTTGAAGTTGGGTGTCTGCAATAAGTTTCAAATATTTTTTTAATGATAAAAAGGCTAATATTATATTAAACGTTGTGATACGTTTACGAAAGAAAAATATATTCATTATGTTTGATATGAGGATAATGTCCTTATCAAATCATATGACATAAAAATTTATTAAGACAAATCTTAATTTTTGTTTTTGTCAAATTGATAAATAATGAATAAAAGATTTTGAATATATTGTTTTGTAGTTGTTTTTCATAGTGTCAAAAGGATTAAAGCTTCATGTCATATAAGTACATGAACATTCTTTGTTGACATATTAAAATTTTCATGTAAACAAGAATATTTAGACGATGATTAAGTCACATCAATACATTGTATTTTGAGTATATGTTATACAATATATTACCTTATATCCATTTATCCTTTCTTTACTATAATATTTCAAATACTCTGTTTTGCATGCCTTTTATCATGTTATTTTACATGTAAGCTGTCACCTTCATATGAAGTTTTATCTTTTTGATCTAAACTATGAAAAAAATACAAAACTGAAATAAAATTTTTGTGTAAATACTTCTCCGAAATTTTCAAACTTTAGTCTGTCTCAATATAAATAGGGCCGTTTCGTAGCCTCCCGAAACCCGCCCCTCCGTTGTCAGACGACAGTGGTCTGTATTTCGGTGTTGATGACGTACCCTCAAAGACTGAAGATTACTACAATGCAAGCGTGTTTGCCTGTGGGATACCTATCCCGGCATTAAGGGATCTAATCAAAAATGACCAGAGGCGGATCGAAGAAGAGTACAAAGTACTGTATCTGTTGAATCTACATGTATATTTTTGACAATATATTTTTCATTGTTATTCAATGTAATATGAAATTGATTTTGGAGTTAATATTTATTTTCTTATTTGATTGTATGACAGGAATTGCAAAAGGGGGTTATTCACCCTTGTAACATTGCCAACAAGCCGGAAAATAAGCCGAAGAACAGATACCTCACAGTGTTGCCATGTAAAGACTTTTATTTATTTTACTTTATTAAGTCAACAAATATTTAAAGAATTATTTTCTGATATATATAATAATAAAGTGTTTTCTTCAATGGATTTGCAATTTTGTTCAGTTCATTAATATTATTATTTTAATTAAGATTATTTCTTATGAGAGCTGTAAATAAAAATTCTGTAATCATGATATATTTCAAAGACGACCATTCAATTGTTGAACTGGCGCCACTTTCTGGAAAGCCAGACACTAAGTACATCAATGCCAACTACATAGATGTAAGTGTTTTCATTTACTTCTAATTTTCAATATTTCATATACTCTGTATATTTATTTTACTATATTGATGCAAAATCTGAATATATATGTGATTGGGTATAAATTTCTTTATAATTCTTCCATTATATTCCCAAAAAATATTCAAAAATAATTGTTGAAAAGTGTTCATGAACAATAATTTTTAATACAAATTGAATGAAAAATCTGAATATTTACTTTTGGTGCATAGATGTGATATGTGTTAGCTTCTACTTTATAGTGACAGAAGTGCATGAATAACTTTGAGATTTTTTTTGTCGTAGATTTAACCAGTTTAAATTTTGAAAAATGATAACATTGTCCTTTTTGATTTCCAACAAATTCCTTGCATGAATGTGTTCATATAGTGTTTGATCAACTTTACATTTAAGTTATAGAAGATGAATAATTAAAAAGATTTGGGAATTTTTTTTTATTATTTGTCTTACTTTTCGAAAACTAAAAACCTCGTCCTTTTCACTAAAAAATCCTTGTTTTGAGGATTTGTTAAAAAACAATCACTAAAAATTATATCACTTTTTTTTTAAAATTCAGAGCACCCTGGAGGACAAGGCTTATATTGCAACCCAAGGTAGAATATATTTGTTTTGTTATCGTGGTATGAAAATAAAAATTCGAAAAAAGGCTGAAAAAGAAAAAAAGTGAATATACAGGTTTATTTTATCTAAAGGGCCAATGACATCAACGATTGGGGATTTCTGGAGATTAGTATGGCAGACCTATTGTGGCAAAATTGTGATGCTTACAAAGCTTAAGGAGAAAAACAAGGTGAAGAAAGGAGAAAATATATTCAATTTATTATTTCAGACAAAGCTGTGTAATTTACACTGGTAAATACCTTTACTGTTGAGGACCTTTCTAACATTATTTTAAGTATTTCATTTTTTTTTTTGGTATTATTTTTGCGTTTCTAACAGTTAAGTTTGTAAATTTTTGGTTATTGCTTGAATGGCATTATTTAGATATTTTTACTTTTATAGAACTGCATTGTACTGGTCCCTTAGGGTTGCTTTATTCTCAACTACAAAACTCGAAAATACTTCTGTATTTATTAGTATTGTAACTTGCTTTAATACAAATGATTTACAAGTAACCCCTAGGGTATTTCAACAAGTAGCAAGTGAATGCTTCGCAAGATTCTGCAGTTTTAAAAAATGTAATGTTACACTCGAACAAAAATACAGACGTTTGTTATTTTCAAATAATATAATCTTTTCTTTAATCAGATAAAATGTGCTCAATATTGGCCAAACAAAGGATCAACTCTAGAGTTTGGGTTGTACAAAATAGCAGTCCAAGCTGAAAAGAAACACGTCACTTACGTGCAAAGAGCGCTTCGACTGGAAGATATGACGGTTCGTAATTTTTTTAGTGTATTGTACGTATAACCTACTAAATATTTCATATATTAACTTTTCTGGAATCTTATGACTAGCTACCTGAGGTCATTTTGAAGAGAAATTGTGAATTTTTTCACTTAATATTAGAAATTTTTATTATAAAGAAAAAAAAAACTAATCAGCGTTGGAACAGTTTGCTTACTGTGTATCAGTAATTTTTTGCGGGGTTTAATTTTCGTTGTTTCTGTGGTGTAAAGAGACCCAAGAATTCATATTCCTCACAAAATGTTAAATTTTCAAACTGTAGTTGATTCTCCTTTAACTATATGAATGAATCCTTTAAAACCAGTAATTTTCCCTCAAAAAAATTCAACCTCACGAAAATAGGGAAGTTTACAGTATTTTATAAACCGCGGTTTATAAATTGGTAAACTGCCCAAACCCAGGTTATACAGTATATAACTTGAGTAGCTATTAAATTCATTCCTTAAATAAAATATTGAAATAATGAGGATCATTAAGCATTAATTTATTTAACTGGTGCCCTTGCAGACCAGTGAATGTCGAACCATCCACCACTTCCACTACATGGCGTGGCCTGACCATGGCACCCCTGATCATGTGCAGCTTGTTGCGTTCCATCGTCACGTGACTTCTGTAACGACAGACTTTATTGGTCCCATGGTTGTGCATTGCAGGTAGAGTGTATCTAGTGATCTTATGATATTTTTTTTAGCTAAGAGATGTTGTTAAGGCTGTAGACGACGATCTCTACACGTTCCCAATCCACCAAGCCATTTGTTCAATTCGATATTCGATATCTTACATGATGAAAAATATCCCATACTAGTCATTACTTTTCTATCTTGTATTGCTCTTAATAAAATGTAGGATCACACTGAGGGGAAAGCTCTGGTCAAGAGCATTTTTAACAAGAAAAAAAGGATATAACTCGCTTTGATTGTTTGTTATGATAAACATGTATGAGAGTTAAAGTTCGCTCAAAAGCAGTATTCTAACTCCTTACCTTTTTCTAAAAACATTTTTAGCAAAAAAATTGAATATTAAGCGCTTTTTGTCAAATAAAAAATTATGTTTGTCATTTAGCGCAGGGATTGGAAGAACGGGAACTTTTATTGCCCTGGACTCCCTCCTCAAGCAGGCTAAACTGACAAATCAGGTCCAAGTTTTCAACTTCATCAGGCTCATGAGGAAGGACCGCATGAACATGATTCAGACAGGGGTAAGTACGTCATTTTAATATTCAAACAGGAATAAGGACGTCATTTATGATTCAGACAGAGGTAAAGATTTTAAGGATTCAGATAAGGGTAAGGGCGTCATTTTAATGATGCAGACAGAGGTAAAGACGTCATTTTAAAGATTCAGATAAGGGTAAGGACGTCTTTTATGATTCAGACAGGGTAAGAATGTCATGTTAATGATTCAGACAGGGGTAAGGACTTCATTTGATGATTCATACAGGGGGTAAGGACGTCGTTTTAATGATTCAGACAGAGGTAAAGATATCACTATAATGATTCAGACAGGAGTAAGGATATGAAGGAGAAGATCTTAACATTTTGTCAGAATGGATACAAAGTATAAGCTGCATGTTCAAATCGACTTATACGGTTGAGAGGCAATACGATATCCATCTATCCTTCTGTCTTCAATAAATCTGAGGTGACTAAAGAATTAGATAAATTCGATGGTCCCAGCCGACAAAGCAGATAACAACAAAGTCTTTGTTTGCAAGACTCATTTATATTGCGTATGAGGGGCACTTGATTCTACAAGTGGTAATCCAACTTATAGTTCTCTTTCTAAGAAAGAGATCTTCAAAACCATGTGTTAGTATTTGAAAGTATTATTAATATTCTCGAGGATCAAACTGCATTTGAATTACCACACCTATACTGAATTCCAAAGCGTAATAAAACTCTTTATAAAGATAATTAGCGGAAAGTAGTAAATTTTTCTTCACTGTTCACGAAAATAATAACAGCGCAGTGCTGTGCAGCAACATACTTGTTTCGAAAAAAGATGTTAATCAAATGTGGATATTAAAGCACTCCAAAGAAATCTGAGAAAATTTGAAATCGGAAAAATGTTGCCAAAATTGATATATGTAACATCAAAACGTATGACTTTTCAAGACTTTATGCAACCATTCCCCATCCGTAAAAGACCATTTTGGCATCATAGACAACAATGAAACTCGCAAATTTTTCAAATCTTGTCATTGGTCATCTACAAACTTAATTAATTTGTTGCATGTAAAAATGACTCTGATTCCATACACAAGTACTACATGTATGATGTTGATACTAGTATTTAAAGATGCCTGAGTCCCCTATTGTACACTTCCAACAATCTTCTAGAATTTCATGGGTAATAATGTAATCAGATTTGTTTTTGTATTCTTATGAAGTAGAATTTATTCAGAAACTTCTAAATGAAAAAAGACAATTTCTTGCTGTGCCCTTCAGTTCGACATTTAGATATATATCATATTACATATAATTATATTGATATATTTATCAATAACTAGTAAAAGTTATTTTCATTTATATGTCGATTCAATATATCCATTTGAATTCAGAGTGAAAGACACCGCAAGTCTGTCGCAATTGTTTTATATTTGGATGTTTACTAGAGAGAGAGAGACAAACCAACAAGTAAATTTTATGATAAACGTGATGACTTCAAATTTTCTATTCTCAACTTTCCTTATTTATGTAGCAATATACCATCATCACCTGCATATGGGATTTATGATGATTCGAAAAACAAGAGCATGTTCTACGTACGAATCAATACTAAAAAGCACGTTCTACATACGAATAATTTCCAAAAACTAGGCAGACGACTGACAAATAAGTTGATGATACAAGAGTATCAATAATCACGTTTAAAGTCAACATTTGACAAATTCCATGGGCGATGCAATTACCTTGTTTACAAATACCTATTTTTAGGTCAAATGTTGACGGGCGTCATAAAAATTGTTAGGCCATTATTATTAGACTGAATTCTCTATGGATTTTTTCGTCTATCTGACAAGGGACACACGGCGGATAAAGGGATTAACACGGAATGCTTAATCCTCCGTGGCATCTGATCCCGCCTTTGATGTTTTCATTGGTCCTTTTTTTTTGCTTTGTCTTTATTTCATGTAAGGACATAATTCATACTGGGGTAAGAACTATTTATCACGTGAATGCGATTCCCACAAGAGTAAGGACTGATTCAAATATGGGTAAGGTCTTCATTATACCCCCGCTCCGAAGGAGAGGGGGGTATACTGTTTTACCCTTGTGTGTGTGTCTGTCTGTCTGTCTGTCTGTCTGTCTGTCCGTAACAAACTTTGGTCGCAGTTTTCTCAGCAACTACTCATCAGAGGTGCTTGAAATTTTAACACACTCTTTGTTTAGGCATGCCATATGGTGGGATTCATTTTTGTACGAATCCGATGTCAACTTCCTGTTTATCCGTGCGTTTGTCCGTACCATACATAAAAAAATTTGGTCGTAGTTTTCTCAGCAACTACTCATCGCAGATGCTTGAAATTTTAGCACAATCTTTGTTTAGGCATGCCATATGGTGGGATTCATTTTTGTACTAATCCGATGTCAACTTCCTGTTTATCCGTGCGTCTGTCCGTACCACACATAACAAACTTTGGTCGCAGTTTTCTCAGCAACTACTCATTGCAGATGCTTAAAATTTTAGCACAATCTTTGTTTAGGCATGCCATATGGTGGGATTCATTTTTGTACGAATCCGATGTCAACTTTCTGTTTATCCGTGCGTCTGTCCGTACCATACATAACAAATTTTGGTCGTAGTTTTCTCAGCAACTACTCATTGCAGATGCTTGAAATTTTAGCACAATCTTTGTTTAGGCATGCCATATAATAGGATTCATTTTTGGAACAAATCCGATGTCAACTTCCTGTTTATCCGTGCGTCTGTCCGTACCATACATAATAAATTTTGGTCGTAGTTTTCTCAGCAACTACTCATTGCAGATGCTTGAAATTTTTTCTTTGTTTAGGCATGCCATATGTTGGGATTCAGTTTTTACAAATCCGATGTCAATTTCCTGATTATCACTGTGTTTGTCCATAACTGAACTTGTGTATTCACATCAGAGCGGGGGTATTATTAGTGAGCATTGGCTCACAGACTTCTTGTTTTTATACAGTTATATTCTACATAACGAAGTTCAGATACTGTTTGATTTCTGTTTTTGCATTTTATCATGAACCACACATTTGTCCACTAGTACAAACACTTTTAAATAGTCAAATACATATAGAATCTAGATGCTAAATCAACAAACTATACTTTCTTTCAGGATCAGTATTTATATGTTTATCATACAATTTATGAGGCACTCAATCATAAAAACACAACCATAAAGAGGAAAGATTTTCCGAAGGAATATTTTAAACTTGAGGATCCATCTGACAAGTCAGAGAAAAGGACTGTTGGAGAATTTAAGGTTAGTTTTGTAATTTTCTAATGCAATACTTTTCCATCCTGGAGAGAGCTCAGATCGTAGTTGTTATTTTGAAAAGTCGATAAACCACTTTTTCCTGTCGTATATTCATCTGTCTCTCTCATCTTATGTTTCGAATTATTTTTTTCTTTCATAAGGCTCTGTAAAGTTTGAATCTTTGAACACCAAAGCATTCAATTTACATGTACATGTATGAAATAAATATGGACGATGATGATGCGACAATAGTTGTGATGGGTGCAAAGGAAATGGAAAGTTGAATTGTATTTGCTAAACATCAAGAGCATTCAGTTGATTGCAAATGCAATTTATCTAAGAAATATAGCCAGATAAACTTCACAACTAGTAAATATGGGCGATATAAGCGAAGAATATGATAAAATAACTTAAAATGTTGAATGAATATTAAATTTATTAGAAATAATTTCATATTTCTTCACGATGTTAATTATTTTTTTGTTATTTTGCAAGATACTGCAAGAAATGAGGGGTGTTTTCACTGCTGATAATCTTAACCCTAAACCTAAACGTAAAGGTATCAAAGCAGCCAAAGGTGAGTACCATTAACACACAGCATTCCCTATATTTCTTCCATATAATATTTCAGAATTCATACCTTTTTGAAGTTTTTTTTCCTAATGTGTCCCTCTTTTTCAATCGGGCGGAGAGGTCGTTGTTTTATTTTAATCACTGCTGTCTACTGTTCATCTGAAAGTCATAGGTCATGTTCAGGTACACTTTAGCTGGCGTATTGTAAACTTCAGTATGTGTAAGTTTTGTCATAACAGAATTTCTTGATTAGGTTTCATTTGAAGGAATTCAGAGTTGACGCTTGATTGTTGAAATCGGTGTCCTACATGTAACGTTGTATTACTTATTAAGAAGAAATACAAACTTTAATGTGTTCCGTGCAATTTTTTTTGTATTATGGTAAAAAAAATTTAAGATTTGTCACAGGATCAGATTACGAGAAAGGAAATGGTCGTCCTTAATTTTGCTGAATAATCTCCACCCTCTTATTTTGTAGCTTAGACTAAGAAAATAATTTAAAACAGCTTAAAACTACTGCATGTTTTTTTTTCTCATTCAGAAAAATATATTACTTTAATTTGGATTGATCTTTCTTTCATTTTCTTTAAATTAGCCCGAGATAGCGCTAGTATTGGGAAACTCCAAACAATTAAAATACCGGTATGTTATAATTTACTTTGGTTTCACAAATTAAGAGTTTTTATCATGTAAGATGTATCTACTTATTTTAAAATTTTAACTATATTGCACTCAGGCGTATGGAGAAAGCCGAGGTTTTCAGTTGGTACAGTCTCTGATGCCAACGATGGATGTGGACTTGTGGAACTTCGTCATGACATCAGAAGCAGCTGTTGTCGTGTCTGTGGACAAACAATCAAGCGATGTTGTAGGTATTTTATACGTAGATGCAATGTGAGATTGGACTGTTCAAGAATCCTTTTAGTTTTCGTGAACAAATGACAATTCAAACAAATTGTAATGATAAATACATGTATATGCAATTTATATTCTAGTACTTTTTTCTTCTTAGAAATTCTAATACCTAGCATTTACTGTATTTCTAGCTTGGCAGTTTTCTACCTACAGTCGGTGAGACTCGTGTGACCAGTTATATGGCAACTTCCATCTCCAGCTCTGCCATCAACGAAAACGTCAACGCATCATGTTCAGTTGTCGAAATCACAAATAGAGTGAGGTCATTTATACAGAACACTATGCGCTTTTCCCGAAATATTTCTTTAATGATTACAATTTTTATTAACCTCTGTCATTATATAGCCCTTTCAACTTCTTATCTCATCCATTGCTACAATTGTCTTTCTATTGTTTTGTTGATCCTTTTCATAAAAAAAAATATATGTACTTTATATTTCCTATGGCAAAGGTAGGTATTTAGCCAGTTGTAGGGAAAAACTTTGACGCACGTACTTTCATTAATGCATATATTTAATGTTCTCAAGAACACAGAACAGAGTGATGAAATTACGGTCATAAGATGTTGTATTGATGGAAAGAAATCCAAAATGACCGCCTCAGAAATGGCGAATCTGGCAGTGCTAATCGAACACACGGAAAAAGCCAGCTCACTCACTGGAGAGACTATTGTTCTGAGCAGGTAAATCTTTTCTCCAAAGCTAACTTTAACTCTGTATTATGGTTGCAAATCATTTGTATTTAGCGATGGAAAAAAAATGAAAATTTAACCTTATTAAAGTGAAGACAAAAGAACATAAACACAAGTACACGTGTACCTAAATTGTTCACATGAATTTGTAAAACCAATGACTCTCTGATTTTTAACAATAATTGAAAAAAGCTGTAAGATCAGCATTTTGATAAAACAGAGTTACTAAGCATATTGTCGATTACAGTGACGGAATATCAGGACCAGGTTTATTATGTGCCGTCTCTTACGCTATACAAGACGCCATTATAGAGAAGTCTGTAGATATATTCCAAACCGTTCGGCAATTCCATATAAGGAATCCAAAGTTTATCCCTAATCAGGTAAAACATTTTATAATAGCTATAGTTTACAGCTTAAAACACTGAAATGTTTTATTCAAATTTTGTTAAGAACAACAAAGTGTTTTATTTCAATGTTGTTGTATTTACAGGAAGACTATGATTTTTGCTACCAGTCGGTCAATGAATTCTTGCTGACGGACAATGATTACGCCAATATAGAAAAGGACCAAGAATAGCCTCAAGAAACGTTGTCGGTTCTTTGAATTTTTGTTCTTAGATTTGATATGCCATGTTTTTTTGTCTTTTTTTTACAAATATTATTTGTGGCACAAGGTGCAATATTTATACTTGTTTTACGCAATTTGTTGAAGGAATATGTTGTCAATTTCAGAATAATTACAATATCATAACAAAGAGTTTTAATAGATATGGTCTTAATAATAGCGTTTTAAAATGTTCCACACATGACTGGACATTTTTGTAAAATTGTAGAAAAATGTAGAAATTAAAATATAGCAAATGTTTATCAACAACTTTAGTTTTTTCCATTGTATAGTTTACCTACCGGATGGCAAAAATCATTGCATAAGTTGTTGCCCATAATAATTTTAAAATTACTTTAAAATTTGTAAAGCATACACAAAGATTTCTATAGATTGATATATTTTTAGATATAGATGTAATAAATCAAACCAAATATAGCTGATAGTACCAACTTTACACAAACATTTGTCTAGTAACGTACACAATCCCTCAGACAATGGCAGTTATGGACTATAATGCGTATTTGCTCTCCTCATAGTAGATTATATGACAATAAAAATGAATTTTTAATACAAATACAGTTTATTATTCACACAACGAACCCGAAGTGATGCTTCGTGGAGATCATCTGCATATCAAGATTATGCCATGAATACCGTCTTCAATCTCCATAATCATTTTTAATGTTTGGTGCAATTAAGCAGCAAGCTTTGAAGATTAAGGCATTGTAAGTTCCCGATGAACAACCATAGTCTGAGGTGGAAGAGTTTTTGTGGTGGTGACTTCCGGTAGGGCTAAATCGTCACGTGACAGGTCATATTTTGCAGTTGTTACTTTTTCAGCACCTTCCCGATGGGAAACCCGGAAAAGCAGCTTTTGATCATCAATCTTTCGAGAATTTTCTGACGTTTTAGCAAAATAATGGCGGGCATCAGAATCATGTTTTTTCCAATCGTTGTAGCTATACTTCATTGAAAGCAATGTGTTCACGCTGTTTGTAATATTTCGTAAAGTAGCTAGTCTGTTTTGAACTTTTTGAGAGTATCTCCGAACTTCGGCAGTAAAAATTCGTTGACCACGGTCATAAGCGCGGATCTTCCGCTCTGTCTCTTTGGTAAGGTCACGATGAATCCGGTGCAGTTGACCATGTCGCACTGGGCTACGCATGGACTCGAACCTGACGTCATGCGTGGTGTCGTATTTTAGTTGCCAGTGAATCGGTGGTTGTCGATGTTCTTGGTCTTCGCCAGGAATGTGAAATTTTTTTTCTGTCATAGTCAACATTTTAAAGATCAATTAATATTCCATGGTCTTAAAAGAAAGTTGCCAATCAGATAATCTTGATATCCACACAAAACATATCCGCTATCTTTTGGGCAACACAAAGCGTCATCGTGGCTGAAAAGAAAAACAACAGAGTGATTTTAGTCGTTTTCTTTAAACATGTATCTTCCAGACAAATATGAAAAAGCTGCGGTCAGTAGCCTGTTTCGAAATCAATTTTACTGCTCATATTTACGGACTATTGACATGACATGGCACTTTTCTAACGTATGTGTTTATTGTTGATATCTTTAGAATAAAATAAAAGACTGCTGAATACAAGCAGGTAATCAATTTTTGTTTATTACTTTTAGACATTAACAACGTGTGAAATTACACCAATCAGACACTAACATCCACTTGCAGACATCTAAGCCATCTTTATGTCTTTGCAAAATGCATAAAAATTCATTTATAAACAAATAAAGGGATCAAATGAATTATTCTATAGACATTTTAGTATCCATAGCATTCATAGTTATTTCTTGACTTTTCTAAAAGATGTTTTCAAACAAAATGACATAAAAATGTATGAAGAAACCATTTAAGTACAAACCTGAATAAGATCTATGTTACTCCAATATGCAAAAATCAAATCTGCGAAGGGAAAATATCTCTCCGACTTTAAAACAATAAAAATTCAATTTGAAAAGAACATTGAATCGTTCGTTGCACTCCGGGGTTGAATGTTAGCGCGCGATCTCAAATGTTTAATCTGGTCACGCATCACGTGGTCTATTAAATGGCAGACGGTTTTAACGTGGTGCCTTGTCTACTACAAAGGATTTTTGACATACAATATCTAAGATACTATCTTTCGCGATAATGGTATACCTTTGATAAATGTTTGTCCCCCATGTAAGGTTGTATACCAACAAAAACTCTTGAACCTTTGTTTAAAAAAAACAATGCCTTTAATTTAAAAGGAAAATAACCTCTTTATAAAAATCAAACACTTCACTGTTTCTGTGACCTTCCTAACTCAAACTTTGTACATTTAAAACAATAAAATGCTTCCTTTGGAATAATTATTTCAATTGTGGATGTTAATTCAATAGTGGTCTGAAAGATTGCAATCATTTAATTATTTCACATCACTACTAATATACTATTTCACACGATTTAAAATTATAAATATTTCAGTAGTTAATGACCGTTACAGATATTCCCCAACCCCCTGCTCTCTTTTTGGTGCCCCATTCCCTAATATATGAATCTAAACAATGATATAAGCAATGAATACAAATGTTCAGTTTTTTTAAAATTGACATTGTGGATGAACTGTAAAATTTACACTATTTGTAGAGAAAAGTCTTGTTTGACAAAATTAGGAATTAAGTCTAGTTCATCCTGGTAAGGTCATTTAGTATGTTAATACCATTAAAGCGGAATGACTTCAGCCTGTGCATCTAAAACTTTTCCTTGCTTATATTGCTTATTCAAAAAATATTTCAAAATTTATAAGAAATCCAAATTTCTTATGAATATTTTCCCTCTTCTATCACTATTATCTTTCAAATTGATTCTTTTCATCATTTTTGCTTGTTGTAAAAACCTGACTTTAAATAGGTATTATCTTATACTTACGTAATTTAAAGAGAATACAACATTGTAAGAAATTTACTATTTTGTCGTTCAATGATTTAAATTGCACTTCACCAGAGTACATAAAACAAATTGGACATATTTCGTAGGGGTTCAGAATTATTTCAAATCAATTGCTTTTCATTTTTCAAATAAAACGTGTAAAATTACAAATTTTACTACAACTAAACTACTAAACCCTATATATATATATATATATATATATATATATATATATATATATATATATATATATATATATATATATATATATATAAAATAGGGTTTAGTAGTTTAGTTGTAGTTGTAGTGCAATTTGTTTTTCTAGTTCCTTTGTTATATGACTTTCTAATCTTTTCTTTATCCTTAGGAATGAACAGGACGTCCCGAAAATTTATTTCTATTGTTCGTGTCGTTGGTCATTTTTAGTGCCTCGTATAAATTTCCATTCGTGACCTTGTATCTTTTTATTTAAGAGGAAATTCTTCAAAATCATATGTCAGTTTTGAATATTTTTAACATTCCCAACAACCAACATGAATTTTGAATTACCATACATGTATTTATATTGGATTCCGAAACTTCATAAAAATCCTTACAAAGATACATAGCGGGTTCCAGTAAATGTTCTACCAAGCCATTTTCTTTACTCCTCACTAAAATATTAACAGTAGTGAAGGAGAAACTTCAAGAGTACTGTGCAACAATATATCCGAGAAGTTGTGTAAATCAGATGTGGATGCCTAAAAATTCCAAGGAACTTTTAGAAAATTTGAAATCACAAAATTTTTCCAAAATCAACAACAAAAAAACTTACGACTTTTCAACTTTATATACAACCATTCCCAACGATAAATTAAGTCCAGGCTTTTTGATGTCATTGACTGCTGCTTTTTCAATAAAAATGGAACTTGTAAATCGTAAATTTACCTACCTTGTCATTGGTCATTTGCAAAATTATTTTGTTTAAAAACATTCTGATTGTACACACAAGTACATGTACTCTGAAGTTGATATTAAAAAGATGCTTGAGTTTCTGATTGACAATATCTATGTGGTTTTTGGAGACCAGGTCTTCCAACAATCTATTGGGTACCAATTGCGCCCCGTTATAAGCAGACCTTTTTTGTATTCATATGAAGCAGAATTTGTTCAAAATCTTATACGTGAAAAGAAGAAAACACTTGCTGTGGCCTTCAACTCGACATTTAAATATATCGACGACGTATTGTCAATTAACAATGGTTATTTCCATTCTTCTGTCGATACGATATATCCCGGTGAGCTTGAGATGAAAGATACCACAGAGTCTGACACATCTGTTTCATATTTGGATATTTTACTAGAAAAAACTTTAATGGTAATCTAACAATCAAGCATTATGATATACGTGATGACTTTAACTTTTCAATCGTCAACTTCCCTTACTTATGCAGCAATGTACCTTCATCACCTGCATACGGGGTTTATATCTCTCAGTTGAGCATGCTCTACGTACGAGCAAATTCTAAAACGAGGTAGGTTATTGACAAACCGTTAAGAAGAATTTACTTTGGATTGTGTCTTATATAGTCAAATATCTGGATTTCAAAACTGCGTTCGCATGGATAATGCTTACAAGTGAAATGGCAAGCTTTTAAATAAGGAGCTCTCCGTTTTTCACGAATTTCACTCAATCCGAAACATAGGAAAAAATATGCATATTTTTAAAAATCAATTCAAGAAAAAAAAACCTGAAAAAAGGGGGGGGGGCTTTTCGATCTTGTTACGGTTAAGAAGAATTTACTTGGCTTTGGATTGTGTCTTATATAGTCAAATATCTGGATTTCAAAACTGCGTTCGCATGAATAATGCTTATAAGTGAAATGGCAAGCTTTTAAATAAGGAGCTCTCCGTTTTTCACGAATTTCACTCAATCCGAAACATAGGAAAAAATATGCATATTTTTAAAAACCAATTCAAGAAAAAAAAACCTGAAAAAAAAGGGGGGGGGGGCTTTTCGATCTTGTTACATGGGAAGAAATTCTGTGGATTTTCTCCGGTGTTGCTTTAGACTGAATTCAATCAAAGCGCAATTAACGCTAATCTTTATATTACCCATGACAGTGATGCGAGACAAATGATGGCAGCACTGTTGAGGGAAGGATCCAACATTTTTTTCAGATTTAAAATTAAAGCTTTAAAAGAACAATATAATATAAGGCCTTTCATTGGAGAGGCGGGGGGGGGGGGGGGGGCGTGATTTCAATTTCCTACGTGCTCAATAATAATAACAAGTTTAAAATGAAACATATAATTGTAGAAATTAAACGAGTAAACGATAAACAAATTGAAATAAAAAGGAAATTAAAATTCATGTTTGAGTTTGTAACCCTTATTTTTTTTCTTTTTTTTTAAAGAAAGTATAAGCGTATCACAGGTTACTAATTTTACCCCTTTTCATTGACCAAGTAGTGCCATATAAAAACACAGGTTTTTTCATAAATATGTCTTCGGATGTATACGGGGTGGAATGGGCTGATTTTAGGGCATAGATGGGAAGGAGAGTGTCTGGGGGAAAAGAATTAAAATTTCAAATATTGAGAAATATTGCCTTTGAATGCGTAGTAGGAAGGGTGTAAATAGGCCATGTTTACCTTCTTCTCAAGGGGTAAGTTAAATATGCGGGGTATGGGGTAACTCACGGTGTCTTAGAGGGACTTGTACACTATAGATTCTCCTTAGAATTAAAAATATTTTAAGGTCAGACGATACGTTCCTCAAATATCTGTTTTGTATATCTTCGTATTGTATGGAAAATATTCCAAATTTTAATTACCTTCTGATTTCTAAACTTGTTTCTAATTGTCTTTAAAAAATTGAAACACTAAAAAATGTGATATTGGCAAATTAACTTTTTTCCAAAAGGATTTTATAGGAAACAACATCCTCTGGTATCTTACACAAATGTCCGGTAAGGTACCTCAATTTTTTGTGAGGAAACTTGTTAAAGTACAGTCCCTGAAACGTTCTACTTTCCCATTTTTCCGTTCGCTCACCGTTCGTTCACCGTTCGTTCAGCGTGCGTTTACCGTTCGTTCACCGTGCGTTCACCGTTCGCTCTCCGTTCACAGTTTTGCGTTCAGCGTTCACCGTGCGCTCGCGTTCACCGTTCACAAAGCGTTCACCGTTCGCTCTTCGTTCGCTCTTCGTTCGCTCATTTTGCGTTCACCTTGCGTTCAGCGTTCACTTATCGTTCAGTCTTCAGTGTCATTCGGAACTCCGAAGTGAAAGGACTTATCTTTTTTTAAGTAAGGATTTACAGGTTTTGAATTTAATAAATAACATACAGTGTTTAAAAAATCATTATTTCATGGGAAAAAAATTATCTACAATATTTATTTTTATTATTGT